TTGTATATAATTATAAATATGCTAAGTTCCATTCACAGAAATCAACCATTTTCCAATTGTCCAAATTGAGAGAAAAATACCCCAGATCTTTAAAATCACATAATTCATTTAAAAACTAAACACACGACTAAGCTTGACAACAGTGAGGTAAAAATCAAATTAAAATTTCATTTTTATGATGCAATAAAATCCTATCCATTCTTATGAAAGTTTCAGTAAAGGCAACATCTAATATAGCTCAATCTATTTCCCTAGATCAGTAAAAGTTTTAAAAGTAATACTAATATATTTTTAAAACTGAATCAAATTTTTCTCTCCCTGTGAGCTATTGGTCCAATATCACAGATGGGACCTGTTGTCCACACACATCATTTTCAACATATACATTAATTTATTCAACAAATGTTTACCGAGTATCTATTACGTGCCAGGCAGAGACAAAATACCAAACTACACACAATGTAGTGACAGGACACAGATGATAAACAAAAAACTAAAACTTATAGTATGTGAGATGATCCAGGCAAAAATAAGACATGAAAAGGAGATAGTGCTGGGATGAAACACAGGGGAGAGGATACAATTTTAAATATATGGCTGGGTGCGGTGGCTCACGCCTGTAATCCTAGCACTCTGAGAGGCCAAGGCAGGTGGAACGCTCAAGGTCAGGAGTTCAAGACCAGCCTGAGCAAGAGCGAGACCCCATCTCTACTAAAAATAGAAACAAATTATCTGGACAACTAAAAATATATATATAGAAAAAATTAGCCGGGCATGGTGGCGCATGCCTGTAGTCCCAGCAACTAGGGAGGCCGAGGCAGGAGGATGGCTTGAGGTCAGGAGTTTGAGATAAATATAGAGTCAAGGAAAAGCTCACTCATCAGAGTAGAGGCCTGAAGGAGATAAAGAGCTAACCACGCAATATCTGGGGAAAAGCAAACTAGACATAGGGAATAATAAATACAAAGGTCCTGAGATATATCATCTCCTCTTCTACCTTTTCCACTAACCCAAAGCATCAAAACAAGTACTGGCTAACCTTATCTCTATAGGTTAGCTTAGAAAAGCAAAGACATTGACATTTCAAGGAGCAATGGCAACATAAAGAAAGATGGAGTCCAAAGAAATGAGAAGAATATGAAACAATGGTGCTCAGTGGATTCTCAGTGTGTGCTATAACCAAAACTATTTATCAATGCTCTTAGAAAAAGTCATCAATAGTTCTTTCTGTATGGTAATGAAGTTACATACTTCTCTTTATTTTAAAAAGAAAAAATAAGAATTATAAATAAGACTATATACTAATTTCAAGAATTCCAGTAGCTTAAGGAATTTACCTCAAAACTGAAAAACTGTCACTTTACTAGAAATCTTAAATAACTTTTTAATGTTCAAATATTGTTGGAGAACCTTATTTTTGCTCTCATTTTACAATGCAAATGCATCAAGATTTCATATTGACATACCCTGTCTACTGAAATAAATTTAGCGAGACAACAATGACTAATCACCTCTCTGGTCTAAGGACAAAATGAACAGAACTCTGTAACGTCTAGTAGCAGTCATTTATATTTTCAAATTAGGTATCCCATCAGCAGGTGAAAAAAAGTTATAGCGAACTACAAATGAGATACCACTTCATACCCACTAGGATGGCTATAATCAAAAAGAGAAAATAATAAGTGTCAGCAAAGATGTGTAGAAATTGGAATCCTCGTACTGCTGGTAGAAATGTAAAACAGTTAAGTACTGATTCATTCTACGGCATGGATGAACCTTAAAAATATTACACTAAAGGAAAGAAGACAGTAACGAAAGATCGTATAGTATACCATTCCATTTATATATGTCCAGAACGGGTAAATCTTAAACAGAAAGAAAGCAGATTAGCGGTTGCTTAGGGACGGGGAGAGCTGGAGAGAAATGGGGATGACTACTAATGGGTACAGGGTTTCTTTCTGGAGTGATAAAAATGTACTAAAATTAACTGTGGTGACTGCCACACAAACTCTGTGAATATACTAAATGCTATCAAATGCACGAATAGTATGTGGTGTATCTCAATAAAGTTATTATGTGAAAAAAGTCCTAATTTTTCAACAGAGAAAATAAAATAAAGATCAACGAGTTACCTGAGATCTTCTGAATGCTTCTTAAAAATACAAAACCTTTTACTTGGACGGTTACTATGAAAGCTGGAGAGACAAAAGAGATTTTAATAATCATATTAATTTATAACTATATTTCAAGTTTATACTTAAGTTTCTAGTTTTTAACAGAAGATCATGATATAAATAATAAAATGTCATTCCTGTTTAATTCCACATTTTATCTTACATTCCATTTTATCAATTTATTTTCTAAGGACACATATTTCCCTAAGCATATTCTTAGATTAGTACTATATCTTGCCATTATATAAAAAAGGAAATAGTTTTAAAAAATGCAAAAGCATCAAATTTAATTTTTTCATTTATTAAGAATTAAAAGCAATTCTGAATTTTTGCTAATAACATTTTTGCTATAATATGAATAGTTATCAATAACAATCTTTTTCAATCACTTTCTAATCTTAATATGCTTATGTGGGAGGAGGAGAGTAGAACCCAAATGATCTAGAAAATAAACCATAATTGAACTAAATGCCACTGTTTACCATCTGACAATTCAAACACTTAAGAGATTTCTCTGCAATTACTGATAGAGGTTTTACAAAACAAATTAAAGCAGAACTCATGAGTTAAAACAATGCTTCCGTGGCTCACGCCTGTAATCCTAGCACCGTGGGAGGCCAAGGTGGGAGGATTGCTTGAGCTCAGGAGTTTGAGACCAGCCTGAGCAAGAGTGAGAGACCTGTCTCTACAAAAAATAGAAAAATTAGCTGGATACGGTGGCACACGCCTATAGTCTCAGCTACTCGGGAGGCTAGGGCAGGAGGATCACTTAAGCCCAGGAGTCTGAGGTTGCAGTGAGCTATGATGATGCCACTGCACTCTAGCAAGGGCAACAGAGCGAGACTGTGTCTCAAAAAAACAAAACAAAACAAAACAAAAACCCCCAAAAAACAATGCTGCCTCTAATTCTAGAAAAGAAAACCACTAACCAAACTTTGTAGCCAATGACAATAGTTTTATATAACCTTTTAATTCAGGATTGGAAAGCACTGCTGTACTAGAAGGCCAGGATTAGACTAACAGCATCGACATTGCCTGAGACCTTACTGGAGTCCCCTTATCTAGTTGTAGCTTCTGCGGTTTCAGTTACTTGTAGTACAGTACAGTAAGATATTTAAAGAGAGAGAGAGAGACAACATTCACATATCTTTTATTATAGTATATTACTATAATTGCTCTATTTTATTATTATTAATGTTAATCTGTTACTGTGCCTAATTTATAAACTTTAACATAGGTATGTATAGGAAAAACTATAGTATACATAAGCTCACTACTATCATAGTTTCAGGCCTCCACTGGGGGTCTTGGAACATATAACTTAATGGATAAGGGAGGAACTACTATATTTAAAAATGCAAAGTCTTGAGCCCCCAACAAACCTACTGGAGCAGCAGGACCCTGGAATCTGCTTTAACAAGCAGTAATTCTCATGCAAGTGAAAGTTCAAGAAGCAGTAACCAACAGGTCAATGGCTACTCTCAGATACAGGGTAACTGTCACCAGCACAGCATGTATGTATGGGAAAAGAAATATTCTGGCCAGCTGTAATCCCCAGAAAATAACCTCAGAAGATTTCTAATAGTCATTTCTTCAATCTACAAGTAACTAATAGTAATATTAAAGTTTACAAATTTAAGACAGTATCACAAAAATAAAGTTTTGTTAGAAGAAAGCATCAGGAGGTTGGGAAGCTCTAAAACTATATGCAAAAATTTATATATACAACTGTGTTTCCCTCAGATTAGTCAAAGATTTTGTCTGAATCCTAAAAAATGTGAACCAAAATAAGTTTTTTTAATGACATTCTTTCTGTAATGAAGTTCTTTCTTCTTTCCTCTTCAAACAAGCAGACTGTTTTTGGTCTATCTATTAGTAAGGGGAGAGAAAGAATTACATATAGTCTTTCTGATAGATTCCACAGCATCTACAACTTGTACCATATTATAATGTTGGTAATTTTAAATTTTTAGTTGTCTGACTCCAGTTTTAATTGAGAGTTCTTCATCTATAAAAAAGGACTTATACCACCTCTTTTATTTATCTCTATTTAATACACAAATGCCATACTTATAGTTTTGTGTATTATAGGAGTGCAAAAGTGGATCCAGAGCTCACAAATAAAAAACTACCTTTTTTCTTCCTATTAGATCTCCACAAATTTAATAACAATATAAAAACATATAAAAATAAATCTAAGAAAAGAGAAAAAGGTCTTATTACAAGAGAGCAAAAACACGTTAAGATCTAAGTTCAAAAAAATCTGCTACCGGGTTACAAGACTGTATACCATTATAAAAACTCGTCAAGCTTTTCTCCGTAAATAGGTGAATTTTATTGTGTGCAAATTATACCTCAAGAAAACTGAGGACAAAACCCTTTTTAACCATATTTTCTTAATGATCTTGCTTCTGTATAACAACTTTACTTTCTAACAAACACAAAAGGAACAATTTCTTGAACATCCAACAATATTGATGGTATGCCTACTACTTAAGACATTAGACTAGAGGTTAATGATACAACAACAAAGGCAAATTGCCTGCCCTGTAGTTCATGGTTTAGGGAGGGGGAGAAGGGGAGGAAGATAGAGACTGGCACAGAATAAAAATGCTTAATAAATATTTGCTAAATGAATAAATACATATTCTTAAGTAACACAAGATAAAAATCAATAGCGACACCTATAAAATGAAGGAAATCTGCAGGTAGATGGGGTAGAAGCCAGCTATCATTTAGGAGTTCATTTCAATTAAGAAAGTTCTTACTGTTTCACTTCCAAGCAAAGCAAAGAGTAACCATAAAGATATAGCATTTTCAGGAAAATAAAGGGAGTTGAAGGAGCTGAAAAAGTAGTTAGGAATTTGATATTGAAAGGTCTTATATTTTCCAGAAAATATGAACTTCATCCTATCAATGTTAGGAAGTCAAAAGATTTTAGGTTAAAAAATGACCTAACCAGATATGCCTACTCTAGCAGAAGAAAGGAAGAATTGGAAAAAAAGGGGGAAACTGTAGACAATTAAGTACCTGTAAGACCAGTTATGATGCTACCACAATAATTCAACTGTTCTTCTAATGAATATCATTTAGTGCCAAGAAATCTATATAAAATGTATAATGAACTCAAGCAGACCTTTAAAAAAATTCATACTGTCTCTCCATTGTATAGGAACAAATTTTTATATCAACTTTCTTTTTCCTTGAAAAATTTAAAAATCATCCTTCAATGCCTAAGTGAAATGTAATTTATAGGAAGTCTTCCTTTGTTTTTTGCTTAAAGAATTTATTCTTACCTTCGTGTTCTCATCATTTATCACATTAAGTTAGGTAAATCTATCTCCCCTACCAAAAAAGTCAAAGACTTTACCCTCAATCCTAGCAATGACAACTTAGAAATTAATAGCTATCATTACCTGAATAGCCCCTAAGTGCAAATCATCTTATTAAGCACTTTAAGTACATTTTCTCTAATAATCACAATAACTTTCTTTTCAAGAAAAGCAAAACTGGAAGTTAGGTTAAGTCACTTGCTCAGATTCACACAGGTAATAAATGGTGAAGCTTGAATTCAAATACAGATTTTTCTCATTCTTTACCACCACCCCTGCCACAATTCTTAGCAAATTGTACCTTCCTAGTAGGCACATAAAGAATATTTATTGAAACAAACCTGGCTGAAATAAACTGCTACAAAACAGAGATACTAGTTAGGTATTTTAACTTAATTCTATTATCTTTTATGTTTTAAAAAAAAGCCTTCTTATGCATTATTTTGAGGAATAATAGCATATTATACAGAAATCCATTTGCATTTTTTCAGATAATTTCTATTACTATCTAAAAGCTATAAGCAAATAAGGTGCAATACTTGAAACAACTAAACCCAAATAATACCACCTTTTTAAAAAAAGAATCACTTAAAAATTTCACATTTAATGATGCTTTTCTTCAAAAAAGTCTTACATCAACACTGCTCCAACTTTAAGATTTTTCTGTTGTTGTTTAGATTAGAGTATTGCCTTTGCACGGCCCGAGTCAGAGTTACAAATGTGCCCATCCCTCCTTCCTTTGAGATTATATTAAGGGCCTTTTATAATTACAACCAATAATGACTATCACCTGCAGTTTGTAATGTGCTAGGTGATATGATGAGTACAAATAGTCCCCTCTTCTCAAGGAGATAATGGAGACACAAATAAATAAAGGGCAAAATAGATGAACAGTACACAATTCAAAGGAAGGAATGATTCTGGTGATCAGACACTTCAAAGCAGACAGACTGAGAGGGAAGGACAGGGCATTCTGGGAACTAATAAGGAATAAGGAAAAGTCACTGTAGAAAATGAATATGGGAGAAACTGTACTTTGGGGAAGATTAATCAACTTATGGGGATAAGAGACTTTATAGAATGGATTGGGGATATGAGATCAGAGGGAAAAAGACCAAATGAGAGGCTACACAGTTGGTATGGGATAGGAATTAAAGGCACTCATCCTTTGGAGAAAATGAAACTACTGTACATAAAGACCTCAGGCCTGTAACAAGAATCCACAATGGATGGAAGAGTGCACCATTCAGTGGGAGGTACCTAAGGCAGTAAGGGAAACAAGAGTACCAATGAAGTTGAGAACAAGGAAAAAGGGACTACTAAACCCTAAGAAGAAATGAAAGCAATGAAAACTTTTAGTTTCATAAGAGGCTAACAACGGAGAGTAAGAGTTATATGTTATGACAATGCAGTGCAGGGTTGAGGCTCAATGGGAATTGGGAAAAGGGTAAGGGAGTCTGGGGCCAACTGGGAATGTTTTGAGATAGAACGGATTTTTGGAGGTTCTACAGGACAAGTGGGAAGCCTATGATAAATGGGGCAGGGAAGGACAGAATGGCCTTTGGTTTAAGAAACACAAAATATTTTCAAGTTTAATCTCCTATAAATTAAGAGCAGAATTAAAACCTCCTTTGGGCAGCTGTATGTTTGGCTGAATAAGAGAATCAGCATACCAGCCAGCAGTTTACTGGGGGAAAGGATGCCTGGACCCAGTTTAGAGCAAACAGGATATGGGTACAGAACACTGGGAGGCAGAGGGAATCTTAGGAAGCCATGATGCACAGTGGATAAAGAGAACTTCATGAGCTTCAGAAACTTGGGACAGTGAATTGTTTTCAGCTGGTTCTCCACATTCATGCAAATGATGTCCTGAAAGAGATGAAGCCTAAAGAGTATTGAGGTGGTATCATGTGAATCCTGGACAGACAATAACGTTTGGCTTGTGTTCTTTTTAGATGCCAGTGAGTCTAAGGTCAAAGTATCTACAAAATAGTTAGAAACCCAGAGTTGGATCTCAGGAAAACTAAGGATTAAAATTGGAAGATTAAAAGTTGAAAGTTAAATATGAGAGTGGTTAAGTTACCAAGAAAGGTAAAGTAAAGACGCAAGACGAGTTGAAGGAAGAAAAGGCAATGAATTAGAGGAGTGGCCAAATAGGAAGGAGAAAAATGGTAGTAACCATCTAACAGAGGCTGAAGAGAATAGTTTCAAAAGGAGTAAGATCTAGTGTTTAGTAGCAGAATAGGGCAATTATAGTTAACAATAATTGATTTTATATTTCAAAATAACAAGAGTAGATGTGGAATGTTCCCAACACAAAAAATGATAAATGTCAGAGGCAATGGATAGCCTAATTACCCAGATTTGGTGACTACACATTGTATGCTTGTATCAAAATATAACATGTACCCTATAAACATATGTAACTATTCTGTATCCATAAATTTTAAAAATTGTCTACTTCACATGGCTGTCAGAAAAATTAAAGAAATTCATAAAAAAAACAAGTGAATGACAACAATGTCAAATATGCTAAAGAAACCACAGAGGAGTAAGAATTGAAAAAAGTGAAAAAATGTACATGACAGATAATCTTTAAAGGGGCAGTGTTATCTGGTAAGTAGGGATGATACTCAAAGAGAAAAGAAATGAATCACAAACAAAGCTGGTAACAAACACTTTTTACAAATGGTGATGGTAAAAAGGAAGACAAGAAATAAGGAAAATAGCCACTAAAGACAAATCTCCTTCAGAGGAAAATAAAAAAAAATACCTGAAAATGTTTGTAAGCAGAAGGAACCACATATAGAGAAAGAGATCAAACTGCAAGTTAACTGAATAAGGGCATGGTGAATTGGAGGACATAAGAGACAGGATTAACTTTAGAGAAGTGGGACATGTTTGATTTCTGAGATTAATGTCTAGATGAAAGTAAGAAGAAAAATATTTAGAGTTGAAAAATTAATTTTAGGAAAGATGAAAAGGATGACCTCCAAATGAGTTATTCAGTGGGCAGGTTAACAACTGAGAAACTAAAAATCTTTAAGGTACTGAAAAAGGATTAAATAAATGCATAAGGTAAAAACAGAGTTCTTTAAGAAGAAAAGGATAGGGCCCAATCAAAGTTAAAGATTATGAATTCAGAGTTGATTGAATCAAAGCATTGTTTGGTACTCTAGAACTGAGCATACAGAAAGTTGAAAAGGGGAAGAGATTCAAATCTTATGTTGGCTTTTATGTCGGGTAAGCACAACTAAAGGTGTAAAGCATTCTAGGACAAAAATAAAGCTGCAATCAACACAGATGACCTCAAGGGTGAGGCTAACTACAAAGCTAGATGAGAGCTGCAAGACTGGAAAAAGAATTCAAAGCAATGAACATCATGGGTAATAGGAATCCAGTAAGAATGAACAGTGTATGAGATTAAAATTGTACTGTGGTAATCAGTGTACAAGAACTTAAAAGTTGATGTGAAGTGCTGACACTACAGAGGTCAAGTACCATGAGATTAGGCTAATCACCAAAGAGGGGAATATACTATAAGAGAAGTGCTAAAGCCACCAAGAAAGGTGAGAGAATCCTTAAAAGCAGCAGCTGGTAATAACCAAAAAGTAACACAGAGGTCATGTTATGAACTGTAAGAAACTCATTTAAATTAATTCTAATTTTTTAAAAAATGGAACAACCTCACTTTGAATAAACAACCTATCAGGTTTATATCTGAACTTTTGCCTATTTTTTAAAAATAAAAATCCATACTGAAGAATTAAAGTATTGCCCTACTAATGACATCCAAATGACAGTAATGTAGGCTCTGAAGGCTTTCCTTGGCATAGTATAAACGGCAAGTACTCAAATAATTTAAGTTGAAGGAATCAATGAAAAAGAATTCCAAAAGTGGCATCATGACTACAATAGTCTCTCATTTTCACTAAATGGAAATAAGTATAGATGACCTGATAGATGGGATGGATGGATGGATGGATGAACAGATAGATGGAATACAGAGAAGACAGAAAGAGAAACAAATCCAATAAAGTTCCTAACATCACTGAAAATTCTAAAGTCGCTCGAAGTGACTCCTTAAGATGACACTTATGAGATTACATGTATTTGTTTAGCAAATATATTTAAAAACATTTAAAATTTTGTTTGAAAAATAACTATTTTTGAAACACCTATAGGAAAAAAAACTCCCATAGTAAAACTACTTCTCTAACAAACCTATCCTACTTTTATTAGTTTAACTATTCTTATAATTTTAGTCCAGTAATTTCTTAATTACTATGCTGAAAAACAGGACCAGGGAATATCCTAGAAGTTCCTTATTGCTAGACCCTTTTAGTTCCTTGAATAGAAACAGTGGCCTCTAATAGGATAACTTTGTTTTCAAAACAAAAACTTGTTGTACTGTAATTTTAATTGGCAATTTACATGTTTAACTCATCTTACCTCATCATATGATTTACATAGGCTTTGCTACAGCTAGTGTTGTATCTGCAAAAACTACAGTGGACATATGTAGGAAAGTGGTTTGCAAAATCTTTTATTTCGGAACAACACTCAATGCACTTGTGAACGCCCCGACGATACCTTATGGAGACATAAAAAAAATGATAAAAATATATTTTAAGACAAAAATTATAAGGGAGAGCCTTATTAATGTTCTGTTAACTAAAGTACAAAGTTTTCATATACAGGTTTAAATTAGTATTGTATGTCAGGAATAAAGATTACCTTAAATTCCTCAATGCTGTATTGACTTTACTTTTTTTATTGCTATTAGCCAATGTGCTTTGTTTCTTTTGCATATTGGAGATTTTTGGTTTATATTTAGGTTTATTTCCATTGGGCTTACTTGCATTAGGTTTACTTGGACTGGATTTGGTTGTAGTTGTATTAGGTTTATTTGTATTAGATTTTGTGGGACTTTTAGTAGTTATATTTTTAGTCCTTGGAGGTGAGAGCTGAAGGGTAGAAGAGCTTGCACTATTGGAAGGTGTAGGTGAAGTTCCTGATTGAAGAGGTCCAACTGAAGCTCGAATAGTCACCTAAAAAATGAAGAGAACAGTTGCTTTAAAAAATTAATCACTACATTGATATTAAAATATCACTGTACTATAAGAAAATTAAACATCAAGTATTTTGAAAAGAGCACATAGAAACAATAATCAGGTCAGTCTTCCATTTATTCTAAATGTTCAAACCAATTAAACATTAAACTTGATATTTATTCACTTACGATAATATATTTTTATATTGATATCAGTCATATGTTAACATAGTTATTTATGGATAATTAGAAGTTAATGCAAATTATGAGTATCAAAACAGCAAATTCCATAGCTATTTTAATGCTCTGATATAACTAAAAAAATTCACACAGAGCTCAAAATTTAAATCTGAAATCCTGAAAAATAACTTTAGAAAGGCCCATATTACCCTTTGACAATTATAAAACAAACAGATCCATAGTAAATGTGACCTCCTCTTTCCAGGGGCTCATCACCCAGGACACATGCTTACAAATGTTATAGGAGGGATTACATCAATTCATTATACTACTCAGAGAATTTATTTAAAATTTTCTTAAAGGGAACTAATATGAAGTTTATCATTTAGTATTCAGAAAGAGAAAATGCTCAATTGTATCTGTTGGCCTACCAACATTCTCATTAATCATTTGACTATAGTCTCCGCATGTATTTGAGGAACAGCCTATGAAGAAGTCCTATAAAATACATGTGCTTAGGTGTGATACAAAAGCACTGGACCAGGAATCAAAAGACCTTCCTAGCCATGTGACCTTGAATAAGTAATTTATCTTTTAAGCCTCTTCACATCTATAATATGAAGTTTTGAACTGATGTTTGTAATAGGAGGCAGTACGTGCCTCGTTAACCTCACTGGATTGTTGTATGGATTAAATAACAGAATGTATGAAAAGAACACTGAAAGCCTAATTCTAAGTGCTATAAAAAACATTTAGTATCATTATCATTAATATTATTAATAAGGGAAGAAATGAGAGAGGACTGCACTGCTTACATTAGTTTTCTGCATGTCTAGTCCCAGCATGAAATGAATGGATTGCAGGGAAGGATGCTGGATAGCTTCTCTTGCTCTACAGGTCTTCAGAGCATGGCTTTATATGGTTTTAGTTAATTCAAATAACAGACATACCCACATTCAAAGGTAAGTACCCAAAGCCAAAAATAAATGTTTTGGGGATTATTTCACTTTGGATTATCCATGCCTCTGTTTCCCTCCACTGGAGCAAATATTCAAGAGCTGACTGTATATAAAGAAGTCAGAGAAAACAGATGTATATAAGGCAAAAAGGGAAAAGTAAATTATAATCATCAGTATACAGTCAGACATGTGTTTGCTCACTTAAAACACAATGCTATTCAGCAGCAGAACTTGCTTCTCTGAGAGTAGACTCAGAAATAACAACTTCAACAAACATCTGAGAACCTATGGCATTCAAGACACTATAGAAGATGCTGGAGATCACAAAGATAAATAAAACATGATTACTGATTTCAAGCATCTTATAGTTTAGCAGCTAAAACCAACCTAGACACTGCCAACTGGAATAGCTCAAAAATAGCCTATATAATATTGAAACAACCCACTGACCTAGGAACAGTTAATCTAGTTGCACTTTTTACAAAGTAATACCACTCCAACATAACACCCATCTCTGAACTCAAAACAATGGTTATAAGTTTTTCTTTCTAGACATAATAATAAAAACTAAAGTCTTAATAAAAATCCAAAGTCATTTTTTAAAATACTATATTCAATAAATAAAGACAGGCAGGAATTAATTTCTATTATCATACAAAATGTTAAAATATAGCATATTTGAACTCACTTTTGTTCCAGGAGGCAATCCTTCTAGTTGTTTAGGTTTTATAAATGTTCGATGATGCTGAGTCTTGTGATCCATTTTCTCCTTGCATGTCAAAAACTGTAGTCTGCATTTTGTACAACGATGTATTCCTTTTTTCTGTTTAGAGAACAGAGAAAAGGAGGAAAAATAATTTCTACAACCACAAATCCTGTGCCCTGAAACTGCTCTAACTTAACGATACCTAAATAATGTAAAAATTAGCAGTTTATCATCTCCTATCATAAATAATACCAAAATATCATTTCATTTTTTTAAAACATTCCTTGCATTAGCATTTGTTTGTTACCATATAGGAATCAAATATGTAAGTTCTATTAATAGGTTCTAATGAAAATTCTATTAATTGTGTGAAAGCTCTTAACTATAAATTTAATTATAAATTTGTAAACACATACTATTAAAATGAGATATACTGTGCTTTTATTCTAGAAAAATTATTTTTAATTTTTGCTCTTTCTAGATATAAATTAAACTCTCTAAAAGAAATTAATCGAACCAGACTTTTCAAAGAAGGTTATGTTGTATAAACGATTGTATAAACCAAGTGCTGTCCAATAAACCTTTCTGCAATTATGAAATGCTCTAGAGATGTACTGTCCAACATGGTAGCCACTAGCCATATGTGATTATTGAGCACCTGAAATGTGGTTAGTGTGACTGAAGAACTGAATTTTTAATTTTGTTTAATTTTAATTAACTTAAACAGCCACATGTGATTAGTGGCTGCTACATTGGGCAATGTAAATATGGAGGCATAAAACAGAACTGATCCTAATCTACTTATTGGTTGAAAACCCCTTGACTGAGTGCCTCCACAAACCCAGTCCTGTCATTATTCTACAGATGGGAAAAGGAACCCAAGAGAAATCTAAGTCACTTCTCGGATGTTAGTGACATTGTCAGACTCCTGATTCAATATTCTTTCTACTATGTAGTATCAACTGCAATCTTTACTCTCATTAATATAAAAATGTATTTAATATATATATACAAATATAAATTTAAAACAATATTAAAAGGGAATATTTCCTCAAAAGTTGTATCTCTGCCAGATACATCATTATTTCCATTTAAATACAACCAATTATTTATAAAATTCAAATGAGGTAATGTATAGCAAAGTGCCTAGCACAGTTACTGGCACACAGCAAGCATTTCATAAATAAAGTTCTTTGCAAAGTTCAAAGCAATATATAAACATAATGTGTTACAATTCAAGCTACATCTTAAAACTATTTCAGAAGTGTGATACATTGGATTATATCATAGGTACAGGCAACTTAAACAAATTCACTTATATGTGTTCAAGGAAGACGAGGAAAAAAGGGAGAAAGCCTGGCCAAGAAACAAATACCAAAACAACAGAACAGGAAGAAAGTTCACCAGAGTTCAGTTCCCAGAAATCTTTTCTCTATCTATAATCATCCCCTAGGTTACATCATCCAGTTTCATGGTTTTAAATACCATCTATCCAAGTGCCTACTTGACATCACTACTTGATGTCTGATATACTTCTCAAATCAGTATCAACAAAACTGAACTCTAGATCTCCTCCCTATCTCCCGGCCCCCCTCTTCCAAAAAAATCTGTTTCTTCTTTAGTCTTCCCCATATCTTAGTATAGGAAAACTCCATTCTTGAAGCTGCTCAGGACAAAAAACTTGGTCTGTCTTTTTTAACCATTCCATATCCAACACATTAATAAAACCTATCAGCACTACCTTCAAAAACATTCATAATCTTTCCATTTCTCATTACCTCCATCCATTGCTACGATACTGGTCCAAACCACTTACCTGGACTGCTGTAAAAATGTTCTATCTTCTCCCCCTCATGTCCTTTCCTCCCTATGGTTTATTCTCCCCATAGCTACTAGTAATCTTAAAAACATGGCAGATCTTTCACATGCTTAAAACCTCACAGTGGCTTTCCAACTCCTGACTGTGGCTTACAAGGACCCACATGAATTGGCCTGCATTCTATTGCTACAACCTCATCCCCTACTATTCTTTCTCCAGTTAGTTTACTATGCTCCAGCCACACCGGCCTCCTTACTGTTCTTTGAGCACCCCAGGTATACACTTACTTCACTGCCTGCATAATGTTCTCTCTCCCAAATATCCACACAGCTTATTCCTTTATTTTTTTCAGAGAGGCCCCTTTTTGACCACCCTGTATCCAAAAGGGCAACCACTCCTCTACTCCTATTACCTCCCCAATCCCTGGAACTCTTTATCCTCCACATTTTCTTCCCACAGAACTTATCACCAGCATATACATTCAAACACCCATACCCACAAATTTATCATCTTTCTCTACTATAATGTAAATTCTAGAGGACACAAACTGTGTTCTGTTCACTGCTATATAACACATAAAACAGCCCCTGGCACAGAGTAAAGCACTGAATTAACATTTCTTAAATAAATGAAGAGTGAGGCAGAAAGCAAGAAATATGAGCAGCAGGTACAATTTAATTACTTCAAAATGTCTGCCATTCCATTCAATGAACATTTGTCCAGAATCCTAAGACAGAATACATTATTCTTCCCTCAGTTGGACTCAAGTTTTTGTTTTTTTTGAGACAGTCGTGTTCTGTCACCCCAGGTAGAGTGCAGTGGAGCCATAATAGCTCACTGGACTTCAAACTCCTAGGCTCAAGCAATCCTCCCACCTCAGCCTCATGAGTAGCTGGGACTATGGGAGTACGCCACTATGCCCAGCAATTTTTTTTTTTTCTATTTTTTTTTTTTAGTAGAGATAGAGTCTCGTGCTCTTGCTCAGGCTGGTCTTGAACTCCTGAATTCAAGCAATCCCTCCCACCCCCCAACCCCCCGCCTCAGCCTCCCAGGGTGCTAGGATTACAGGCATTAGCTACCACGCCTGGCCTGGACTCAAGTTTTATAGTAATATACCTCTCTTATGTATGTATGCATTTCAATCCACTAAGAGTGATGAAGATATGGTATATTTTTAATAACAATATGTTCAACCAAAGAAATAGTCATCTAATCCAAGCATAGAGAAATAATTGTCTGTATTACATTTTTTTTTTTATAAGCGTACTATTATGGTTTTGGAGACATAAAATTCTTACTATGTGTAATTTCTATGTTTGGACCTAATGCTAATGTGAAATCCAACTCTGCTGTAGAGAGTAAAATCTTGAGCTCTGAAGTCAAATGTTTTACTCTGCCCTTTATTAGACAACGTGACAATAGGCAAATTACTTTCTCTAAAGCTCTGTTTCCTCATCTATAAAACAGAATAATAAGATACATATGGTGGTTGAGAGGATTAAACAAGATAATGTATGTAAAGCACCAGCTGCTGCCATAAGGTAAGTCATCAGTAAATGTTAACTGCTTGTTTTATTAAAGATCTAATGAGCATATTTAACACATCTGAAATTGTTTTATTTCTCAAAAGTCATACAAACTGGTTGTTAGCTCTAAAATCACCCAAGAAATGATAATATAATCTTTAAAAGAAAAAAAAGTTACAATGGAAACCTTCAAAGACAATAAAATGAGGCAGAGTCAATAATTTTTACTGTCTATACTATACTAATAATGTCATCTCAATTACAAGTTTATAATTCCACTCAGATATGGTTTTCCAGTCTTTTGTAAATAATTATACAAATTGCAAATACCCTAAAGGATGCCTGATGATCCTTCTTATTAACAGATTGTCCCCTCTTTATTGCTGGCTATCTACCTCCTAAGTACTCCAAACAAACAAAAAAGAAAAGTGGGGACCCAATGCAAGTTAAAACATACCATTCAACGTATGAAGACTTGATTATAAATCATATAGCTCACATAGTGGGCCCACAAATCTCTATCATAGTTATCATTCTTCCCACATCTATATCTCATTCTATAATAGCTTAATAAAGCATCTGAGAAAGATTATGTTAAAAGCTCCATAATGAAATAGAGCTACTGTTTTATACCTTATTCTCCTTCTCAAAATTAAAGTCTAAAGATGAAAAAAAGTATCAAGAATAGTGTTTCCCAAACTCTGTTCATCAAGAAATGTTAATAGGTATTGTGCAAATAAAGTGTTCAATGGTCAAATAAGTTTGGGGAATGATACATACTATATCCTTTGCTTGGAGAAATACAATGTCCATTAGCATATTACTCTGAGAAGTCCTGTTTTAAAAAACAAACAAAACTGTTTAATTTTGTAAATCCAGGCATTTACCAAATTTATTTACCAGTGACAATTTTGGGGGAAACACCTATTAACACCTGATGGAACACTGTCGGGAAAAGCCTAGAATAGAAGGTCTTGCCAAAACTCAAGAATAGGTAGACAGGTGATAACACAGGTGATCTCAAATGCATTTGGAAATTATTATAAGGTCTTCCCCAATTAAAAAACACAACTTGATTTCATGATTAGCTACCGACCGAAACTGACAAAGTGAGCACCAATGCTGAACAAACTGGTGTGCCAATTTAACCAATAATTAAACATTTATTGAGCTTTTTAGTGAGCTGGTAAAACCAGATTACACAATCAGATTCAGTAAATCCATTGGCTTCTGATTTGGGCAAGGCACTGTTATTCTTTCAAGCATTCAAGAATAGAATTAGTGTTGCATCAGTTTTTAGCCCAAACAAAGGATGGTTTAATAGCTTCAGGAAATGAACCAATAAGCATAACATTGTACCCTTCGAGGGAAGAGTACAAATACTAACACTAGATCCCAAAAATCATATAGCAGAACTGGCAGAAGTCATCCAGGAAACAAGTTATGATCTAAAATAGTTCTCTGGCAGCGTTCATATATGGACCAGTAAGTGTCAATGATGACAATGTCTTCTCATAAGAAGGGGGTTAAAAAGGGGAAATAAAGTTTGAAGAGAAAGAGGAAAACAAGATTCTAAGTCCTCAATCTTTTCTTTGTCAGTTCAAACTCATCTTTTTCCTTCCTCCTGATAACTCCCTTCAAAATCATTCTCATACCTACCTTAGACCCTAAAATATCCTTTTTGGATATCCCACTCACCTTCTCTTTTTCCTCTCAAAACTAGGTTTCCTATTTCTAGCTCTTTCAGAATTTCCATTATTTATGAGCCATACCATCACCAAAGAAGGAAAAGAAATGGAAATTTCACAAGTAATTCAACATAAAGTGTAAGTTAATCATACTATTTGAAACAACTCTGCTTCCCTTGCAGACCAAATCTAAGTCATAATCAGTCTTTTAGCTAAGACAACAGGAACAAGTAAGAACTAGTAAATCTCACCTGATGCTTCATATAATGATGCATATAGGGTGTTGCAATCTTAATAACTTTGAGGCAAAATGGACATAGCAAGTTCTTTGTGTTTTCATGGGATGTTCTAAAATGAGTTTCTACATCAGAAAATGATGAGGATCTAAAATTGCAAACCTAGAAATAGAAAGAAGGCTTAGTTTAACTTGCAAATTTCTAACTGATAAGCAATTACAAAGTAACAATGATAGATCATTTGTTTAAAAAACACTATGTACTACCAATCCAGTTCTGATGCCTATACAACCAAGAATCCCACTAACGCAAGTACCAAAAGATAATCTTTGAGACATAAAAGTGATCTTTCAAATTTAAGGGCATGCTTCCCAAAACATAACTAAATTCCCTTCTTTTTATCAGATCTTTTTATCTATCACCTCCTATTTTGATTTGAGTTTTCAAGGTCTGGTATCTCGTGTTCTATAAAATGTTTTTTTCTGCTACATAAAACAGCATTCTCCTTTAGACTGTAAATGGCCTCCAGGTCTATGACAGTGGCAATTTATCTTTTGCTTGCTTTCCCATTCCTTCAAATTCTCTAAAAATATAGTCTCAAAGCATTTGGTAGGGTTCTTTGCAACTAATTGCATTTTGTATTTCTCTTATATGCTCACATTTTTCCCTATATAATAAAATAAGTCCATATGTTTGCCTTTCCCTAGGAGGGCCTCTTTGTCCAGTACAGGGGTAGGCAAACAACGGCCTGTGGACCAAATCCAGCTCACTGCCTACCTCTCATACAATGCATGAATTATGCCAAGGGACTTTCCACTAATAAATTATTTACAAGAAGGACTTTAATTTTAGTAACCAATTTTATCTAAATAGTTAAACTAATATAATACATAAAAAGTATATGAAATTCATATTTCAGCATCTATAAAGTTTTATTGGAACACAGACACTCCCATTCACTCACTTATTGTCTATGGCTGCCTTTGTGCTACAAGAGCAGAGCTGATTAGTTGCAACAGAGATCATATAACCCTAAAAGCCTTAAATATGTACTATCTTTATTTACTACACTTTATAGAAAAAAATTTGATTTGTGGTCTAATAGGCTTAAATCTTATAACCAAAACAACAAACAAACAAACCAAACACTTAAGAAAACAACAAATTGTGTGTTTACCTGGCAGATATATGGCATTTCACCAGGTTTATGATTGTCCTTCATATGTTGTAAAAGAATATGTTCTGTTTCAAATGATAACTCACAGATTTTACAAATGGCTAAAAGGGAAAGGGAAAAGGTATGACAACATTTTAAGATATAAATATAAAAATTATATTTTATACATCTGTATCAACAACAATAGTAGTAGTAGTGGTGGTGCTGGTGAACAGTTATATAGTTTAAATGTGTGGCAAGCATAGTTCTAAGTACTTTACCTACATTAACTCAATTCCTATAGCAACACTATAATGAAAGTACTTCTATGATCCCCATTATTCAAGTACTAAGTAATGTGGTTGAAATCATGTAGCTGTATTAAGAGGCAGATCTGGGATTTGGATCTAAGCTGTCCAGCTCCAAAATCTGTGATTTCAACTACAATTGTAATTACTTTTCTTATTAAAGTTCAAATGAAGGATACTGATATAGCATTTGCAAATGATGATGTGAGGCTCCTAATTTAGTTCCCCAAATATAAAGCACAGGCTATGCCAAGGGAGTTTTCATAATGAATTATTTGCAAGAGGTACTTTAATCTTAGTAACTAACTTTATATAGAAGTTAACGTTTTCAATTTCACCCTCAAATTCCAAAGTCTATTTCTTATTCTTATTTTTCTAACAGACTTCTAAGGTTTTCTCACAGTTTATATCACCAAAATCAGTAATATTCAATATTTAAATGACATCGTAACTCACTAGAAAATTCATGGGGGGTATGTGTACTTTCAATGTGACACTGCAGCTGAAACGGTGTGGGAAACTGGCGGTAGCAGTGCTGGCAGGTGGTGTGGTTTTCCCAGCTCTCACTGCTCTGCTTCTCAAGTTCCAAGTGGTGTTTCATGTGGTTCATAAACCTATAAATGATTGTCAACAGGTGCAAAAATTCAGATTTAAAAACAAAAAGGAAATCTCACAGATAAGTATTTGAACCTAAATCTTAAAAATACAGGTATTACGCAAAATAAAATCTCAAAATTCTTAAAGTCCTCTAGAAAAGTATCTACTTCAAATAATCACATGTGGCTAAATAAGCTTCTTTTCATCTTTGTTTTAAAATGTCATTAATGTAACTAATGTGAAACATCACTAATTTAATGTAACTCTTAATCACTATTTCAGATTATTAAAAATTTTTTTGGATAAAAAAGCAGGCTTCTTTTATACCTGAAATATTATTTACATTTTAAAATAGAATACTGAAAAGAAAGAAACTCTACCACTAGAAGCAGCTACAGAACCATGAGAGAAATCTTTTAAGGCCTTGAAGATATACAATAGATTCCAGCTGCTTAAAAGACAAATTACTGGTATTTTTACTTGTGTCTTTGTTTCTAAATGCATGTAATAGCAATTTTAATGCCTACAATTACAAGAACCTTTTGTTTTATTTAATGATACTGGTTTACTGTTAGCAGAGACTGTTCATTTTAACTTGCAGACTATGCCCTTCGTAGGCAACGTCCATTTTTCAGTTTTACATTCTGCTATTTCAGCTTCCCTAAAAGGCTTTTTATGAGCAGGAACTATGACCTTCAATGGCAGAGACTGAAATATAAATAGGAATACTTATTTAAAAGAGCTTACTGAAGCTTTTTGCTGAATTTGAGAGTAAAGTTCTTCAATCAAAACAATTTTCAGACTAGGTCAACTATTAATAATTATTCACTTTGAGTTCCCAAAGTAAATAATCTTGAAACTAAGTGATAATGTCATCAATCCGGATAGCAATCATTATCAAGGTTATATCTCTTTTTCACACATTTACGACACTAATTCGCTTTAGAATGGGGTTATGGTACACCTTGAAATATCTTTTCCTCCTTTGGTGTTAACACCAGCTCTGTAAACACCTACAGAAAATTCTAGTATTGGTCATATATTTACATAAAGATCATCATGAGACATTAAACTTTCAGCTCACAACTTTCAGCACTTAAAGTCAATCAATATAAAATAATCCTTTAAACAGCTAGCTTCTGTCAATTATTAGATATGTCCCCATCAGGAGCTCATACTTCTCAAACCAATAGATGGAAATGAGGGAAACAAAAAAAGCAAACTTCAGCTGGGCACGGTGGCTCATGCCTGTACTCTTCAAACTCTGGGAGGCCGAGGTGAGAGGATTGCTTGAGCTCAGGAGTTTGAGATCCGCCTGAGCAAGAGTAAGACCCCATCTCTACTAAAAATAAAAAAACTCGCCAGGTATGGTGGCGCATGCGTGTAGTCCCAGCTAGTCAGGAGGCTGAGACAGGAGGATGACCGGAGCCCAGGAGTTTGAGGTTGCAGTGAGCTATGATGACGCCACTGCACTCTAGCCCAGGTGACAGAGCAAAACTCTGTCTCCAAAAAAAAAAAAAAAAGCAAACTTCTTACAAAGATGTTCACAGAACAAAATAAACCTAACTATTTCTAGTGACACTTGATATAGGAAAAAAAAATGCCATATCACAATATGTTGATAGGGCACAGAGAAGAAATATTGAGTAATCAATTTCTTACCATTCCCTAAAAACATCCAGCTGCTTTCCCAGTTTTATTGTTAAGGTAAAATATTATATAATATGTTTGACTTCTTTGGTCATGAGGTGTTTACCATTAAGGTACATTAAATAATCAATATTTTTAAAATGCTCAATTCCTGAATGTTATCCAAAATGCAGTTTGCTTAAAATGTCAATATATTCTGTTAATCTAGACACATGTAACTGTCTTTGGAAATTAACAAAAAAGGAATTTTTCATTTTCATGTTTGACATTAAAAAATGGGTTAATCTTAAAGGACAAGCCAAAAAACTACTGCTGAAATAACTTGTAATATCATATGCATCATATTTAAGAATAACAAGGAACTTCAGTGAACCACATTTCTATGCACTTTACCATAATTACTGATACAATTTTCTGATGTACTTTATTATTAAAATGGTAAAAATATAGGAATAAATGTTAGAATTCTTTTGTAATACTATTTCAGTGTTATATCTCAAAGCATAATTTTCTTTTTGTCAAACTAGTGGGACGTTAAGCTATTGATGGCTCTTAAAGCTTGATAAAAGGAGGTAAAGAAATAAGAAAACTCATACAAAATAAGACACATGAAAGAACTTTGAAAACTATAAAGCATTATCATAAAGAAACCATGAATAATTATTATAGGACTATATCATAGCATATTTCAGGGTTTTTCTATATGTTCTTTTGGGACCCAAGAACTAAATAAGTAAATGTTGGGTCTAGAAGTAATTATAGGTGCTTGAAAATGCAAATTATAGATGATAGCTAACATGAACAAACATAAAAAGGCATACATATATGTATATGTTTGTTTACACATGCATACACACAATGTACTTTGAAATGCACCTAAAAAATCAGATAGTTTGAAGGAAGGATAAAGAGATATATGACAAAGCAAGTATAATAAAATGTTAATGGTAGAATAAAGGTGATTAGTGTACAAGTATCCAATGTAAAATTTTGGAAATTTTGCTAAATATTTGAAAATTATTATAATAAAATGGCGGAAAAACAATCTTACTTAATATATTATAAATATCAGGCTATATATACTATAAATATCTAGCCAATGAAAAATATCATTCAATGTCTTGTTACTTTGCTCTATTAATAAAATCACATAGAATGAAAGCTTTGTAATATGCCATGTAACTCAAAGATTACACAGTATAAGTTCCTAAAATTTAAACAATTTGTATATAAAATCTTTGAAATTCCACTGGGAATTAAATCTCTAGTTTTTAAAGGTGTTAAATTTTAAAATCAAAGCAGATATGTCTCCTAAAACTGGTACATCTCTAAAACAGATCGCTTTTCCCACAAGGTAAATGTTCCAAAAATTATAAATCTGAATTAAAAAATTTGACCATTAAACAGATGAGTGTGTAGGAGATCAAGCTGGACAAACATAAAGACGTACTCTTCTTGTGATGTGAAGAAAAATAAAATTCAAACACAGCTAGAAAATGAAAACTATTTAATCAAAATTCTTATATCATTGCTAAAATAGAGAAAAGTTCACTTTGTCTTATGTTAAAATAAACTTTGTCCTTTCTTAAGCTATGTGAAAGAAAGACAACTAAGTAGATAAAGGAGTCAAACTCTAAAATACAAGGACAAAAGCTTTTCAATAAGAAAATCTGCTTTTGTTCTTAGTAGAAAATGTTAAAATCACTTGTGTAGAATGGCATAGAAAAATGCAAGATAGAAATATAACATTTATATCTGTAGCATTCCAATTTTCGAACAGAAATAAAAATAAGTATTTACATACCTAATATTATTTTTTAGAATTTTCAAGCAACTGAAGCATTTAAAGGTTGTGTGAGTCTTCTGTTCTTCCTGGACATCTCCTTCATGTTTTCCATAATAAAAGTCATTAACTAACATGATCAATTTTCCTTTCTCTGAATCAATAGTTGTATTTTTATTTGCTGTACTTGAAAATTCTGTTTTAGCCAGTCCCAAGAAGTTATTTATCATGTCTGGACAACAATACTGAAAGAGAAAAAAATAGAAGCCTTATTTATTCTTTAAAAAAATATGCACCAAAAGGTGAATCTGTGTTTATAGCTAAGGCCAGATAACGTAAAATTATGCTTGGTTATACATATATGGGAAAAGTCACCAAAAATTTGTGGTGTATATATATATATATTTTATTTATCTTAATAAACAGAAAAAAAACCCTAAAACCAAAGGTTAGCTATAGATCAAATAGCTTTTCTCTTGCAATTTAACTTTTCAGATGTAAATATCTAATAAAAATTTGTTCCTTTATCAAAAACTATTCGTTTCATATCTATGTCAAAATATACAGAAAGGAAATACAATTTTATATGCCTTGATGTATATTTACTTATCAAGTGACATACAAAATTTCATAAAGCCTGGTTGGATCTGGACTTTGAGCATAGCTAGCCTGCCAGTCCACAGATATAGGCACTAGAAAATGTATGGGACACAAAGAAAGAAGCATCAATTACATTTTGAAAATTTCAACAGTTATATCCTGAAATCTGTAATGCTTAAATATTGGAAGGGGAAATTTACCTCCTCATGAGTAAAATCAAGATGTCATAAACTAGTTCTAAGATGGAATACTTTCATATATGAGCTTTTTAAAAAATATGATATAACTATTTATTATACATAATTTTCAGTTGTAGGATTTCTCTAGGACAGTTTTCTCAGTGGGCAATCCGAGGAAGACCTGCATTAGAAAAGCCAGAAATGCTTGTTTAAAATGCCAATTCCTGAGCCCTACTTCAGACCAACTAAACCACAATGTCTAGAGGTAGGGCCCACAAATCTGTATTTTTTAAACAAACCACCCAGCTATTTCTTTTATAACTTAAATGCTTTCTGTTTCATTTGTTAAATTAGTAGCAACATAAGAAAGTTTGAAAACCTAAACACAACTCTATTCTATTTCTAAGATAACAACATCCCCTTCGTCTCCTGCCACATGTGAAATATTAGATCATTGATGAAACATACTGTATTACATGGAAATCTGGGCCTTTGATCCAAAACAGACCTAAAACATTTCGTTAAAGCTTACATTATATTTACTTAGTTTCATTTGTCAATTTTGAAACCTACAAAAGAAAAACACCCCCCCAAAAAATCTAAAATAGATCCAAAGGGAGGGAAAAAAAGAAAAGCTGAATAAAATGGACCCATAAAAAAGTGACATAACTAACTTGTGTTTAAGAGTTAAGGTTGCACTCATAAGCAAAATTAGGATAAATACATTAGTTCTCAAATATATGATCCTTTTACTCTTCCACTCAGAATAAATTACAGTTGAAATGAAACTATAACAAAAAGAGGGAGATGAGAAAGGTTTTGCTATATGTGTTTCTAGATTCTTCTTGAGATATATATAATATATTTAACAGCTCAAACTTAGGAGAGTCAGACTATTTCTAAGGACTTTTACAAGTTCCCTCCCCCAAAATACTAGCTTTTATTTTAAAGATAAATGGAGAAAAGAATGGTTTAGAGTAAATTCACCAGTACTATTAGAAAAGTTAGTCAAAATTTATGTTTTACGACTAATGATGTGTATCAGTGGCATCATTTTGATAAGGCAAAACTCTCCCCTTATCTGCAACCTTCCTATAGGAAAGATCTCAAACAACAACAGGGAAAAATTATAATGTGCAAAAACCACTAATACTGAAAAGTTTCCCTAATTAGAAATGTAGATAATCTTATGTCCCAAACATTAAATCTGGCTTTCATTTCTTAAGTTGCTTATTTGTAGTTTGGATATTTTCTGTAGGATACATTACTTTCTTCTAAATTACTAAATCCTCCACTCTAATTTACTACATCTTATTGTCCATTCTGGGTTATCAATGTTTATTATTCACCTCTTTTATAATGATCTGAAACATTGGTTAAAAGGCACTGTGAACAAAGTTTGTGTGTTTATTTTTAAAATCTGATCCTATCTTAATTTTCTAAGTTAATAATAGATGACCAATTACTTGCTGTTCTTCTATTTTCTTTTTTTTATTATGAAAACTAAGCTTAGATTTAAAATGTTATAGGAGGGCAGAATAAGCTATGGAGGGCGTGGCTGAGCTATGGTCCAAGATCAAACTGGTCATCTTTTATTCAGCTACTACTAGTACCCCTTTGGTACTAGCCCTTCACTGCAACCCCTTCATTTATCCCTTATTTTCCAGGGTTAGCCATTCTGCAAATATTAAATACATACCTTTAATGCCAGCTACCGTAGTTTGACAAACATCAGACACCATCTATACACCATACTCATCTTCACTCCTCCCAGTTCACAGACGATATGCTATTGCTTTGTAAGTGCCCTAAAAATTTAGGTAGGATTTTTCAGAGCAAAGGAGGTAGGATGCTATTTTTAAATAGACAAATAGGACTTCTCATATGAATGTCCTACATCAGTCAACATTTTTCTCTTTTCCTCTTGGTATTCACCCAAAAGCCACAACAACTAAATTCTACTATTTGATTTTCATTGAAACTAAGAGCCAAATAAAATCCACAGATTCCATAATATATGAAAGCACTAGCCAAAGCAGCCAACATTAGGCAGATGGCATTTAGTTGCAAATAAATCAGAGAAGGCAATGGTAACAGATCTCAGAAAGTGTCAGTAAAAATATACATCCTAAAGTTGAAAGACATATCCTGAAGCATAAAGCTATATCCTTTGTTTGCAAAAACAGGTACAGAAGCTGGGGCAAGAAGGTTGACAGCAGAAGTATCCAGACCTGGTCCAGTACAAAGAAACAGCAAAGGCAATGCTACATAAGGAATCAGACACACAAGTCATACTTGCAGGAAGCCTTCTGCCCAGCAAAGAGTTGTGTAAATCAGCTAGCAGGCTGTGAGACTACCCTGGCAACCTAAACTTCCTCCTAAAAGGAACCTTGTTCATAACAGCTGGCCCAAGAAAATCCAGCTTGCTCTACATGATAGGAACTCCCACCTAAACAAAAAGACTTTACAAAAAAAAAGGCAAATAACATGAAAATGTAAAATTCTAACAGAAACACCAGAAATATGATGCCATGCAGCAGATGAAGATGTAAACAGTAGCCAAAATTTTTGCCACAAATTTCAAAAACATAATGAAGCCAATGTCTCTATTTGGAAGACTGCAAAGCAAGAATAGACAGTGAGACAATAAAAAGACATAAAAGAAAGATTGGAAAAATCAAGAGAAAAAGTAGAGGAAAAAATAAATCCAAGAGATAAAGACAAATTAGAAAGGAGTACAGTGGTGAACAGACATTGGAAAATAAAATAAAGGACACAAGGGCTAGTAATGAGAAAAGCATGTAAAAAAAATTTAAAGAGTTAAAAAGGATTAAAAAGAAAATGACAGATATGCTAGGCAAAGAGGATCAGACAAATTCATATTAGAGATGTCATTGTATGGAACAAATATTGAAAGATATAATTCAAGAAAACTGTGCTAAAACAAAGGAAGACACAAATATACAGGTTGAAAAAACATGCTACATGCCAGAGAAGACAGACCCAAAATTCCCAGTACCGAGTTATATCACTGCAAAATTATCTGTCTTCAAAACTCAAATCTTGTAAACAGCCAAAAAGATCAAATCACTTATAAGGGGCAAAATAATTGAGGTTTGTCCCAGATACATCAATAGCAACATTCGATACTAGAAAATGGGAGCTACACCAACAAGATCCTCAAAGTGGGATCTAATTTACTTTATATCTGGCCAAAGAGTCTTTCCAGAACGGGTCAAACTGCTTTGAACATGAAAGAACCCACAGAATGTTGTTCCCAAACCCTTCCTGAGGAAACAACTAGAGCATGAACTTCAGCCAAAGAGAAAACCAAAGAAACCATGACAACAGGCTGGCGATGAACATTAAATAAATTTACTGTAGAAAAAGATGAAAACAAATGTGGAGAAAAGGTTAAGAAAATTGAATGTGACATTATAAGCCCTGACAATGGAAAAATAATACAACCAACAAACAAAAACTAGGTGAGGGTAAAAGAACAATGAGTATGAGGTTAAGGAAGTTCATAGATTGCCTGACATATGCTAGCAGTGCATCAAGGGATATTATTTAGAGATGCCAAATAAAGTAATATAGGTATAAGCATTTTAAAACAAAGATAAACAGATAATTTTGACTAAAATCAAGAAAGGGTGGGTTAAGAATAGGAAGTTTAATGCTATTTTAATCAATCCTTACGGAAGAGAATAGTAGAGAACAGCCAAAGCAACAGAAGACTACTGGAGTTATATAATTTTAAAATTATAAAGATAACCAGTAGAAGAAAACTGCAACTTTACTAAAAACCCAAACTACATACATATAAAGTAACCATATAGTGAAAAGCTTAAAAAAAATTGCAACAGAACTAAGACGAATAAATCTATCATATTGATGAATATAAACCCACTACTAAAATAAAAGAGATTTTTCATATAGTGTCATGAAGGAAAAATCAACTTTACTAAGAGCAAAGGGCACACCTAAAACAAAGTGATTTAGAAGAGTTGACTATAAAAGGATAAACAAAGAACATACCAGACAAATGGAAACCATAAAAGAAAAAGAAGAAAAACAGAGTTGTCAGCCTAACATCAAAGTAGAATTTGGGCTAAAAGACACTAAAAATTAAGAACAAGAAAAGGATACTTCATCAAAATTCTAAAGGATGCATTCACAACACAGTTATAAAAGTTAGATTCTTCTATATCATAAACAACAGCAACAACATTCAAACAAAATTGCAATATATCAAAGAGAATACTGGTAATGAAAGATTGGAATTGTGATGTAGTGTTTCTCTATCCAGGACAGATCAAGTAGACTAAATGTATTATAAGTGAAGACACAGAAATCTAAACAATGTAATTAATAAGCTAGCTTTGGTTGATAAATACTAAATTCCATACCCTAAGTGGGAAATAATAAACCTATTTTCAAGTTTCCACACAGTATTAAAGAAAATATTCCACATAGTTTTCAAAAAAGGGGAAAAATATTTGTGAAAGCGTGGACTTTACCATTAAAGAGATTGAGGTTTGATTTCTATTATGCTAATTAACTGGCCATATAACAAGAAAAATGTCTATCTCAAAGAATTTTCTAAGGATTAAATAAAATAATGTATTTAAAGCTTAGTACTGTGTCTGACACAGTCTTAGATAAATTGTTATTATTATTGTATGATATTTGACTGATTTTTAAACATTTTCCACTGAAAGAAAACATTATTTTTGTGCTATAGTCATCTTGCATTTATCTATAATAAAAGCAAAATATCATTGAAAAATAATCTAAAAGTCACATTTTTTCAAAATGAAAATTATTATAATATTAAAACTTTAGTTGATACATAAAATGTATAAAACAGAAAGTAAAAAGTCCACAGAGATTTAAACTTTCCCTTCCTAGATTTGGTGACTATTCTTTCAGATTTCTTTATGATATAAGCACATACATTGTTCATATTTTATTCAACTTAGTTCAACAGTATGTCTTACAGATCATCCCATATCATTACCTATTGTAGAAATACCTTCATTTTTAAACAATTTACAGTGTTCTATTATTTGAATGTTCCAGGAACTTTTAGTTGTTTCCAATACAAATAATCACAAACTTCCATAACACATAAAAGCCACATTTTGGAGAATGGTTGCCAGTCTCTCCAGGTAGAAAAGTATATAATATGCTACAATTTGTATACAAAATAGAGAGGAAATAAGAACATTCAATGTTTACCTGTATACACAGAAAGAAAATCAAGGATATAAAACAAACCAATAAAAAACTTTCTTTGAGTCACGCTGGGAACCAGGTAAATAAGAGACAGGGGTAAGATTCTTCCCTTGTATACCTCTACAAGATTTCTAATTTTAAATCATGTGACCATCTTACCTACTCAAAAAATTAAATAGATAACTAAAGAACATAGCCTCTTTTTCCTCTTTCCATCTATAATGCAAGACATAAAAAACAAATTGAAAGCACTTGTACAGGATAATTCTCATATAAGACCAAAGCACAAAGTACAGTTATCAGGGGCTACACTCGGGGAGCTGGAAGTAGGGATATACCAAATATAGTTTTGTACATGAATAAAAAATTGCATTTGAAATTTTTTAAAGCTCCCTTATTTTTTCTACCTTTTTGTAAAATGCTGAATTTCAATAAAAATTTGCCAATCTCTGAAGTAGTGAGCAAGATCTTTTCCTAAGTTACTTCTTTACCATTACACCCTTCTTCTTTTCCTCATGTAATCTACACACTGCTTTTGTCTTTTCCCCCTTCCTCCCATTTATATTCGGCACGCAAACAGAATACAGACTATCTTTACACAGACATAGAGTACTGTAACATCTAGCAAAATACTTTAAGTGTTACCTAAACCTCATATTTCATTAGTACTTTGAAAATTTCTTATAACCTAAATTCAAGAGCCTTCTATACCAATAAAAAGGGCAAATTTTAACAATTATATGAACTATATTCTGGACTGAGTTAAAACAATTATTTCATATGAAATGCTCCACCCTCTGGACTTTAGGTGTGATTGTTAAAAATTAAAATCTAAAACTCAGATTTTCATTGTTTAATGTGACACGCACGTGTTAACATGGACATAAAAATAAGGTAACAGAATGCTTAAGTTATATGAAAGATTAAACACATGATAAAACGCCTGTTTTACAAGAAGTCTGAAGAACAGCATAATTATGTAAATAAAATATTCTGATTTATACAGTATTTTTGTTTAAAATTAGAATAAGCATATATTATAATGTACATGAACTTAATTTTTTAAATTTGATGATTCAGAAGGAATTTTAAAATCTTACATAAATATAATCATTATGGATGTAAATTTTTACCTAAGTTACATGAAAATATAAATATGAGAAGATTTCTGGATAAACCGTTATTTACTGTAAATAAATCATCAATATTTTGGGGGCTTTGTAAACTTTTTAAAAATTAAATTTTCAAAGTTTTACCTTCATGTGATTTTTCAAAGGATCCAGAAGATTGAAATGAATATTGCACTTCGGACAAGCTCTTGGAAAAGGTGTTCCATTTTTAGATTGATTTGATGAGGAATTTGCACCTAAAATAAATTCAGAACATTTTTGATTCAAAAGTCATCATTTTTCAACCTTAAATAACAAATAATGATAGTTTTTAAATTTATAACAATGTCTAAAATTCATGCATAAACACTGTAATTTCTTTTGGTACAGCAGATTTCATATTTACCTTTTGGAGGCACAGCCTGGGAAGATGTCACTGAAGGAGATTTGACTGAAGGGCATACAGCTAGGGAATTTGTTCCAGAAACACTTTCACTGGGCTTAGGCTTTTTTGGATTAACACTATTTACTTCAGAAGTAGAAGGACGTTTTGATAAAAATAAACTTTCATTCATACCTGCAATGGTTTAAATAGTGGGAAGAATATTTTTAAACACTTTAGGATAGTGCTTACATCTAAGTAAAAACACTCTGGAGCAAAATTAAAGGTAATATAGTAGAATTATCATATCATACAAATGATAATAATGATAAAATTTGATGTGATCCAAATTCAGCCGGTATGAAGAAATTGCACATACAATTATGGACTACATATATTCAAATAATTTATAAAATAATCTTTCTATGCAAGAAAATTCTAAATACAGTTTAAAATAAAGAAATATATAAACAACTGTTATAAAAGATGCCAGATCAAAATAGTCCAAGCAAAAAAAGAAGACAGAGTATACTCTGAAATAACTTCCTACAAATTATCTTTAGACACATAAATGCACTGAGTACAAAACAACAATAAATTTTATTTGTTTCAAAAATTTAGAGCAACCCTTAAGATGCTTTTTTATTTAACAATTTAAAACATTGGAAGGAAAGTTAGTTCTTTTGCCACTTAACAAACTGACAAGTGGTCTACTCGTGCCTTTAGGTGATATAGCCCATTTATGCTATGTATGAAGTGGAAATAACTAATCTCGAATAATATTTTATTCATTCATATGAAAGGGCACATAACAGAAATAGTTAGTATAATGATTTTCACACTATGTTCCCTAGAGCTTAATGGCTTCATTTTAGGGAATATATTGAGCATGTCTGACAGAGAAACTCTTTTCCATTTTATTTATTAGACTTTCACATAAAAGACTAATCATTCATTCATTCCTAAAAATACTTTTCTATTTGAAAACTATTATCTTAACGCTAAAGGATTTTAGCCTTATTTAATGTATTATCAGGATAACTAGAGATATTCTGGCTATAACCAGGCCAGGCAAAGTCCTTTCTGAAAACAACATACAACTATACTTCGTAAAAAAGATTCTAAAATGTACAGCATATTTTAATGCTTCCAACTGTATACTGAAAGTGGTAAATATATTAGAAATATTCCAGGCTTTTTAAATCAGACAAGTTAAAATCCACACCTTGTCACTCACTAGCTATGTATTCTTAGCTTATTTAATGAATTTCTCTGAGCCTCAATTTCCTCTTTTGTAAATTAAGTTATAATATCTTATTTTACAGAGCTGTTTTTAAGATCAAATAAGACAATGTATTTAAAGTACCAAACAAAATATTCGGTACCACAGAAAGCACTCAGTAATACATAATAGCTATTATCATTACTAACAAA